CCCCAAAACCCCAAAACCCCAAAACCCCTTAGTTGATAGAAGTTATTGAAAGGATTTTAGATCTTGGCTGTCAAATCTTCCTTGTTGTCACTAGTGGGTTTATCTAGGCCCATCATTTTCTCTCTAGCAGAGTAGCATTCATACATTCTGGGTTCCTTTGGAGCCTCGTATTCCTTCTCAAGTCTGTTTACCCAGAACAGGAGAGTTTCGAACTCCTTATCACCCTTAGTGATGTGGTACATCATTAATAGTTTGTGACAAATGTAGAGCAAAGAGATGTTGAAGGCTAGAGTTCTAGCAAAGAACTCCATATACTGCTTGTTTCTGACGATATTTATTGTTGATTTATACCAAGAATCAAGGCGAGCCGATAGCTTTTCAACAGCTTCTTTGAGTGATGGCTGATCGATGTTTTTGATGTCGAATAAAGAAAGAAGGGATGACAGATGGTCATATAAGACATCAAGAGATTTAGGCCATTTTATAATAGCTCTGAGAAGATCAAGAGATAAAATATTGGTTGTTCCTTCCCAAATTGGGAGAACTTGAGAATCTCTGAAAATTGAGGGTAGGTGAGAATTTTCCATGTATCCAAGTCCACCAAAGCATTCAAGTCCTTCAGATGTAAGCTTCATAGCATCCTTTGCAGTGAATAGTTTGATAACTGGAGTAAGTAGCCTGAAAAGAACTTTATCATTTGTACTCTCTTTTCCAACATCAATTCTTCCCAACATTGATGCCATATCTATCAAAAATATTAAATTTCCTCTGAAGGTCATTTCCATCCATGCTAATGTTCTGTAATGGAGGTCATGATCTTCTATCTTTTTGCCAAATGTTTCTCTTTTATGAGAATAATCCCTTGCAAGAGCAATGATTCTTCTCATATTACTAACTGCACTGATAGAGTTATGCATTCTGGTAATGTTAAGCATATTTGAGATAAATCTGACTCCCTCACCCTCTTTTCCTATTTTCTCAGCAATAGTTCCCTTTAACAAGATTTCCCCAGTTGGGAGTTGCCTTGTTCCAAGCTTGTCTTTGAGTCTGATAACCTCAAGGTTATTCAGATGCCCTTGATCATCTCTGATTTTTGAGAAATATAAGCTTAGTCCTTTCTTTCCTGGAATGGGATTCCCATCTTTTATACCTCTAGCTAATGTTAAAGTCATGTCTGCATCTGTGGCTGATGTGAACCATTTATAGCCATAGAGGCTATAATCTCCAGAAGGGTTTTTCTCTGCAAGTGTAGTTGTACCATTAGAGACATCAGATCCTCCCTTCTTCTCTGTCATCCATTGGCCTGAAGTCCAGAATTCGGATGGATCTCTGCTTGTCAAATGTTTGTAAGCTTCTCCCAAGTGTGAATAATCTTTAATATCTGTTATTTTCTGTAATTCTCTGATGGTGAAAGCAGCCCCATCTGTCATTGCTAGAGGGCAACTAAAGAGTCCACTACTAGGAGCGAATAGATAAAGCTTTACCATTTGGTAAAGCCTACTATACTGTTTCAGTTCGGATTCATATGGGATTGAAATGAGTCCTTCCTTGGCTGCTTCTGGTTTGAAGAATTTCCACCCCTCACAGGTTCGGACTTCATCAATTCTCCTTCCATATGCATCATGCTTTACAAGGTATGGTTTTTCGTCTTCAGCGAGATGAGCCATTTCAAGATATTCTCCAGCAACCTTTTCTCCAAATTGGATTAAATCAGGCTTTATGTACTGAAGTACTGATTCTGGCATATAAGCAGAAAGATATGTCTTGAGCGCTGTATCAGAGGTGTATTGATTACCAAGCTTTGGAGCAGCCTGAGAATACTCTTGAATCTCCTTCAAATGTTTGTCCATGTCCATGATGATGTAATTTCTTTAAGTTGATAAAGATTTTCAAATTAGAATTAAAGTCACGGGGTTTTGGGGTTTTGGGGTTTTGGGGTTTTGGGG